TCCGTTCTCAGACTGGGAGGCCCGGGTTCAAATCCCGCTTATGGCAACATTTCTTTCAGTTAACAGTTAAACTTTTTTTTAACTCCTTTCAGCAGAAATTCTGCTCATTCACCTCTTTTCAGCAAAATTTTTAGCCTTTTCACCTCTTATCAGCACAAATCTCAGCTGTTTTCAGAAAAAAAAACAACTCTTGAGCAGAAATTCTGCTGATTCATTTCTTTTCAGCGCAACTTTTTGCTTCTTTACCTCTTTTCAGCAGAAATTCTGCTGATTCACCCCTTTTCTGCAAAATTTTTAGCCTTTTCACCTCTTATCAGCACAATTCTCAGCAGCTTCTGCTCATTTCAGCAGAATTGTCAGTCTCTCCACCTTTTCTTTGTGAGAATGAGTTTGGCTCAGTGAGATGAGTAGCTGCCTTGAGACCAGAAGGACCAGGTTCAAATCCTGCTCAGGGCAGCATTTTTTTTTTTTCCAACTTTCAATTTTTTCAACCGACATCTTCAGCGTTAAGGCATCCACAATGCATTTTCGCAGGAAATGCAAATTTTTCTAGTTACTTTGAGTGTTGCATATATTCACTGTTTTGCTTTTTTTAGTAGACCAGTGTTCCCTTTTCCAATGAGTAAAAAAAAGAGCTGTGGTTTAGTCATAGCTTCTAGGTTGGTGTGGCTTCTGCTTTTATACTATCTGTATGTTACCAAATACTCTCTGCAATTTCATAATCACTTATCTGCAGATGGATCTGACTGCTTTCATGACCGAGCCAACTGAAGCCACAGCAAACACGTACCTTTACTCATCATTACATAGAGTGCTTTCTACTGTTTCAAATTATTTTGACTTTGAGTCGTTCATTTAACTGCAGATGAAAGTGTTGCATGTTCTTTAAATTCTGGGCAACAGGACTGAGGCTGAATCCAACATCAAAGGTTGGACATATCCACCAACGCCTGTCCAGCACTGGGTCATTGGCTCTCTGTTGGCAGACACTTTCAGTTAAAGGAAGGAAATGTTGCTGCACGTCGAAAGACTTTGGAAACCAGTAAGTCAGGTTTATTGAAACAAAGCG